TATTACATTGGAATCGTAATTACGATCCAATTCATCAGACCTACAAATTTAAAAAGAAATCAGAAAAAATAATTTTGGGTATAAAAAATAAAATTTAGTGAGAGTATATGTATGAGAGTGGGGGACGAATGTGAGAGGTAAATGAAAGCTATAGAGAGGGGTAACAGACGAGAGAAGAACAGGAAGGCCTAAAATTGAAGGTGGAGATTAAAATTTAACAGAGAGAAGTTTTAAAGAGAGGGGTTAAATAACAGTTTAAAAGAGTGAGAAACAGATAAATAGTAATTATTTTCCGATGCATAATTCATTACTGAATCGCTGACCTAAATTAAATTAAAAACCGACACCGGAAATGGGTGTCTACATTTGTGGTGACACTACGCACAATAAAAGACAATATAATGTAAATAGTTACAATACCTCATCACAGAAATATGGACAGATCCTGAAGAAGTCCGTGATATACAACGGCCGAAACGTCATTAATATGAAAATAAAGATGAGAACAATAGTACGAAAAATGTAAATAATGTAAATATTTAAAATACCTCATCTCAGAAATATGGAGAGACCCTCAAGGAGTCCGGGGCATACAACGGCCGAAACGTTGTTAATATGACAATAAGGATGAAGACAACAATCCAAACAATGTAAATAATTACAATACCTCATCTCAGAATTATGGACAGATCCTGAAGAAGGCCGGGCATACAACGGCCGAAACGTCGTTAATATGACTAAAGATGAAGACAGCAATCCGAACAATGTAAATAGTTAAAATACTCCATCTCAGAAATATAGACTGAAGTGTTATTTTTTTTACAGGGTAGTCAATGGCGAAGAAAAGAGGTTTTGTTTAGAATAGAAAGCGAAGGAAAACGAGATTAGAGTTAATCCGGCGTTCAGTATATCAATCTGAACGAAATCTACCGGAGAAAAATCTTTGTATTTGTTTACTATGGGTTTCTGAGACCGAACAGCTCTCCAGTTTAGCAGTTGACTTTCTTCAATGACGGATTGTAACTGAAAAGATTATTTTTTTTCCTGGGCAAGAAAATTGACCGACGGTTTTGCTGTAAGGTCTCGCCCATCCTTGTGTTGCCAATGTGATGCAGCAAATGATTATGGAGTCGCGATGGGAAGTTCTTCTATATAAGACATATTCTTCAGACCTGCCATATTCAGACCCTCACTCACTTCACTTAATACAGAAGCCCTTGACTGATGAAAAGTTCCAACAATTTCAAGAGGTCGAAAACTCTTCGAACTACGGTACTCAGAAAAATGTATATGCCAGGGAAATTCATGGCTAAATAACGACGCTATGAATTTATATGAATAAAATATTCTACCAAAAAGCAGTGGGGAAAATTTTACTTCAACTTATTAAACCACTGAAACTAGAGCTTCGCCGTGTGGTAATGGTTAGAAAACTAGTCTTGCTAACCATTTATATTGTGCAGTAACTTCAGTCCTCACTTGATGCTCTCAAATAGTAGCCTTGCGTCATAATAAGTTACGCTGAGTAAATATCCATGGAAATGTTTGTCGTGGACTTATGGTCATCAGGGTAGATCATTAACATTGCTGCTAGTCGATCCTCACTGGGTATCAATTTGTACTGGACAAATTAATTTAGTAGAATGCAATTAAAACACTTAAATGCGCATAAGAGTAACCAAAGAAATAACGTTAACTCATAACTGTAAAAAAATATTATTTGTATTTTTAATTATTGGTTTTATTTCTAAAGACTTTCTCCTTTACTCTTTTATTTCTATGAAAAAGCCGTTTCTTTTCAACAATATAAAGGGAGATAAATAAATACAGAATTGCTGTAAGGCTTAAATTATTAAGGTGTATCGAAAGTATTTTCGTGTTTAGAGATATTAACTTATTTCCTGTTCACGTCTAAAAATTATCTATTGCACGACACTTTATATGCTGTGGAGTATCAAATGTAAACATTCAGAGGAACCAGGATCATCGAAAGATACCAGATGTTTAGCTTTACATAAGCTTCTTGAAATTAGCTTCAACTCGTTGTCTGTATACATTTCAGAAAAGCCAGGATCATCGAAAGATTTCCGATCTTTAGCATTATATAAGCTTCATGAAAATAGCTTTGGAGTAATTTTCTGTAAACGTATCGACGAAAGATATATAGATAAATACATAAGCTTTACGATATTAAGTTTGGAATAAAGTTCCGAAAACATTAAAAGAGCTAGAATCATCTGAAGATATCATATGTAGAGAATTATATAAACTTAAAAACATATAAGCGCTCTGAAAAAAAAAAACGAAAATAATTTTATTATAGAGTAATAAGAACATAACAGCTTTCGTTAAAGTGCAAGTCAGTATTATTAAATTTATTTTGTCAGTTTTTCAAAATTTGGATGTGACTTTGCAAATTATTGGAATGTACTATTTGGACATGCGCAGTGATTTAAACAAGATTTGTGCCTTTTTACTTCTGATTAATAGATTACTTCGCATATTTCAAAGGGGGTGTATATCGGACTAGTTGTTTATGAAACCCGTATTATTATGAGTAGAATTTATGAAACAAATATGGCAATTCTAATCCTTATTTATATAACGGCATCATAATTAAAGCAATCTGACCCCCGGGAGAGTGACTCGCTGCGCCTTCTTAGGCTAACGTTCTCAGCTGACATGAAGAGGAAAGGTTATATTGAATCCATTGCTAGGTCAGCTGCTAGGAAGGTTGGGTCGCTCTGCGCTGCTAGATGATTTTTTACTCTATATGTCTATTTTTCATATTTATAAGTCTACCATTCAGTCATGCTTAGAATATTGCTGCCACATATGGTCCGGTGCTCTGGCTATTTATCTAAAGCTTCTTGATAAAATCCAACGAAGAATCAGCAGTATTATTGGTCCTGACCTGGAGTCTCGGCTTCACCACCGTAAGGTTGCCTCCCTTTGCCTTTTCTGTAAATACTTTCATGGTAATTGCTCGGAGAGCTTCTTCGCTACAGTAACAAGACCTCGAATTTAAGCGCAGTACTAGATTGGTGACCACGTCACGCCAATTTGCAGTTGATTTGGCTAAATGTGGCCCTAAATTTTATGCTAACAGTTTCTTTTCTCGCAGTTCTCGGTTGTGGGACTCTCTTCCGTCTCCATGCTTCCCAGCCAAATTTAATCTGCAAAAATGTAAATGCAGTGTCAATCGCTATCTGCAGTCCTCTTGATTACTCTTCCTCTGTTCTCATTCCTTAGCAGTGTTCCTCTTTCCAACTCTTCCACACCCAGTAATCCCTTGCGTCTCGGTGACTTTACTGCCTTGGTTGGGGTGAACTCGATTAAAAAAAAACCCTAGAACACCGAATATGGAGACAACGATTCGTGTTTTCTTATTTATACCCACTCTCTTATCTTTCTTCCTTCAATCGCTTTCTGGCATTTTCTGCACAAATAACAGTATGATAAAAAAGGAGAAACTGATCATTAAATGTCTAATTTGCTATTTATGAAATGCATTACGTCTTACGGCCATATCACCTTGAAACACGTTCTCGTATGATTTACCGAAGTTAAGCAACGTCGAGCCTGGTCAGTACCTAGATGAGTAAGTGCTTGGAAATGCCAGGGGCTGTAGGGTTGGATGTGCGGATGGTGTAATGCATAACGGCTTGGAATTGAAAATCGGAGAGTCAAGTTCCAACTCCTAGTCGAGTTCGATATATTCATTAACGTCCAAATTGATGGAACTCACTTCTCAGCCGTAATTGATCCAGCTTGCAAACCATTATACACCACGCCTAGGTGCCCTCACTCTATCTTTATAATAAACACTGGAAAGGTAAACGCTTAAAAGGTTAAGGTTACGAGTTCAAATACCAACGGAAGCTTAACGTTTCACTTTTGATATGGGCTGATTAGTTAATGGCCGCATTATAAAGGTATGAGACTATCGATGTAGACATTTTTAAAAAAATGACTAGTCAAAAATGAATTAGTAAATTTTGCATGCGATTTTCAAGACCTTCATTTAAAACAGCTAAGTCGAGAACTCATGCGTTTTTTAACGTGTGTGTGCATATATATATATATATATATATATATATATATATATATATATATATATATATATATATATTATTTACTTCCCCGTGAAAGTGCTGAATAATTCTCGACCGGAGGAAAAAAGCCCTTCGAGAAAAGGAAAAAAAATAATCTGATGTTAGACTATTTGATCATATTTCGGGAAGTGGGTTGGTGTCGAGAATTTTACAGCACTCTCTCGTGTATATATATATATATATATATATATATATATATATATATATATATATATATATATATATATATATATATATATTTAGTTTATGGAAAACTCGGTAATCCGTATGGGTAGACCCAAGGAGGATAAAAATCCAGAGAGCTCAATGTAAATCCAGAGCAAATAATTTAAATAAAAAACAGACCACTTTAAGGTTCCATGTAATAAATTATTTCACCAAAGCCCTTTTAGAAAAGGACTGCGGATCATCAGACTTTATTTCCAAAGGTTGAAACAAAAATTTTTTCGTTTCAACCTTTGGAAGTAAAGTCTGATGATCCGCAGTCCTTTAAAAGGGCTGTGTGAAATAATTTATTACATGGAACCTTAAAGTGGTCTGTTTTTATTTAATATATATATATATCTTCGGAAATTAATATTTCGTGAGGAAATTACGCACAAAACGAAATCAATTTTTAAACCCAAACATCTATAATACTACACAATCAAGTTGCAAAATAAAAATTTAAACAAAAAGAAAACAAGAGAAAGGCGTTATAGACGTGCGAAGCGTTAAACACACAGAAATTAAAAATGAACAAAGGAAATTTTAAAATTAATAATAATAAGTGGCTAAATATTACGAAAGAAAATAGAACAAAACTTTTAAAATAAAATCAAAGATGCAAGGGAAACAAGCACGTGAACTACACAAGGCAAAGTTACGTAAGAAGATTTGCCACACCTGAAGGAAAATCCACAGGACTTGCAAGGACACCACTGCCTTTTCATCTGCAACATATAATCATTTCACCGTATACTGACACAATAGAGAAACGTGTACATGTCCTTCGTGAAGAAAAGCTTAAGTAATTATCATAAATACTGGCAGTCTTCTTGAAACAGTCTTCAAAGAAGTTACGCCGTCAAACATCAGTGTTACTTTACTGTAATTATGAGATGGTCAAAATAGCCGTCCTGTTTCTTGAATAAAAGGTATTTTCTTTTTCGATATTAACTTTATTAAGCAACATATTTACTGCTTTTCACACAGTTTTCTTCGTCTTATTCAAGCAACATTATAATTCCATCACCATAATTCTTTCATCTTTTCAGTAGAAAAAAATGCTTAAAATGCCTTTTTCAGTTTTCAAATTATTGAATTATTTTTTTTATTAAAATGTTTCTATTAGATCTTTTAAAAACTAACATATTAAAAGTATATATAAATATATACATAAATATATTAAAACAAACGGGGAGGAAAAGTAAAAAAATAGCAAAAAAAAAAAATTAAGCAAATATGGACCTTCTCGCCCGCAATAAGACTGAGTCTTATTGGTTTTTCCCAAGAGTGGTCTTTCCCATGACACCATTATTAATTTAACCACCTCCATTGTCCAGCAATGTTTATTGTTTTCAAAAGAAATTATTAGACTTGGAATAAAACCTAAACATTTCCTATAGAAAGATATAAAAGAAAACTTGTCTTCTATGCCGACCGGGAATGTCCGCATTTCGAAAAGTTTCAGATATTAACCCTTAGGAGACGACAGCGTCGATATATCGGCCGAAAAACCGAACGACTAAGAAAACGACTGGGTCTATTCGTCAGCCCGCTAATACAAGCCTCATGATTAGCTGGCTGATCTTCGTACCAGCCAATCAGATTGCTTCTCGCATTTCTTGCATATCTTTACCTTTCAATGGTGGTTTATATGATATAATTGCTGTTTTCTGTTATTTTACATCGATTATGTGTGTGTGTGTGTGTGTGTGTGTTCCAAATGAGGGCACTGAAACTCCAAATGAGGCTCCGTCTCCAAAGGGAAAATATCGTTGGAAAACAAAAATAAGGATATTAAATTATTAAGTAATACCAATCCCCGTATATGGCAGTGAATGCTGAACAATTTTCTCACAAATCCTGTCTGAATTTCTGGGATATAGAATTATTTATACTATTGTTCTCATTTTTGTTGTTGTTATCATAACGATTCCAAGGGGAGTAATATGAAGGGGACTAACGCACTATTGCTCTTGGTAAGCTATTTTTGAAAAGTTATGGGCCTGTTGTTTGGACCTTGCATGTTTCTGATTGTCGGAAGGTGATAGTAGGAGAGTTGTTATCATATGGTTGAGAATAGAACAATATTTTAGTGGATTAAAGCGTTGGGTTGTGAATTTGGTGACAGTAATCGTGAGTTCAATCTTTTGGCAGGGCAGTGTGAAAACAGAGTGAGCAATAAGTGAGCAGTGCGAAAAATAAGAAGTAACCGAAATATCGCTAGAAATGATCAGTGGGACGAAAACCGTCTACCGCTGTTTAAATTCTCTCTAGGAGACCCGGATTGATATACACCTGAAGAAGCCGGGGAACACAACGGCTGAAACATTTTGATAACAACAACAAAGATGAGGACAACAGTCCAAATGTAAATAGGGTCAATAATGTTCTCGCAGATGAAGAGGAAACTTAATACAACGGGGATGCCAATTTTAAGCCGTATACTGAGAATGCCATGGACAGAGTATGCGAGCAATGAGGAAGTAATGAGGAAAATGGAAACGGAGGGAATATTTTTGCTTAGGATCTGAAAGAGAAATCTCTGTAACGCACGAGGAAAGAGGGTTTGGAGAAATAGACACTCACAAGTGCTTCAGGGTAAAACAGCGGGTAGAAAACCTAACGAACGTGTTTAAATGGAGAGCAGAACATGAACATGGAGAGATAGTAAGGCGACAAATATTGCTTAGTGTTACAAGGGATAGGAAGTTGTGAAGGGTCATTATCGGCCATGTCCTGAACTAACACAACGCATAAGAGAAGAGATGACTAGTGAGACAGAAAGCACGTTGTATGTAGGGAGAAAAAGTTGTTAATTAGCAATCTGACGCCCAGGATTAGCCATTTCTCAGTCGTGAAGACATAGTGGGGCTGATACAAAATGATTTTAACCTGTTCTCTTTCTAGCTGAAAGAGTTTTTCATTGATCCTTACGACAAATGATGTTAAAAAAAGTTAAACTTCTTATCCAAAAACCTGGAAAAAATAGACTCAAATAGTTTATTAGCCCTTTAGATATTAAACATTTTGTGACATGGACAATTATGCCATACTGTTACATGACTGGGTCAATTTTGTTGTTACACCCGATATATATATATATATATATATATATATATATATATATATATATATATATAGGGGTTTAACGTTGTTAAGCGTGTTTTGCTCAGTCTAGGCAATATAGGCTTTGAGCACTTTAATGAATAGGGGATTCACGGGTTATATAAAGCTTGCTTCTCCGTTCTTTCGTTTCCGTTCAAGTCGTCTGAAGATAGCATGAGCATGAAACTCGGGTTACGACTAAGGCCATCCTATCATTGGATTTAACGTTGATAAGCGGTTTTAGCTCTGTCTATATGTAGTTTGCATATGATATGTATATGATATGTTAGGGTGTTATTCAAAAAATGGAACTCATATCTTTAATTGTAAATTATATATATATATATATATATATATATATATATATATATATATATATATATATATATATATATATATAGATGGTCCTAGTTTCACGACATTCAAGATCCCCCTGAGCGTAAAAACTTGGGTTAGGACAAGGGACATCCTTTCATAGGATTTAGGCTTTTAGCACTTTACTGAGTAGATACGTTTGTCTTCGGGCATTTTCTTCTCTTTCTTTTTTCAATATCCTCATTTTATTCGGAACTGTAAGGATAAGAGTTTTTAGCTTTGGCATGTTGTCCGTTGGTTCCATCAACGGTGTTTTTCTTTAATATATATATATATATATATGTGTGTGTGTGTGTGTGTGTGTGTGTGTGTGTGTGTGTGTGTGCGTAAACGCGTGTGTATGAGTGTGCGTGTGTGTGTGTGTCATTAGGCTTCCAGTTCCTTCTAAAGTCTACTTTAACTTCTGATGTCACCTCTGAAATCTGAAAATTTTATTTACTTATTATTATTTATTTTCCATTTTTCTCTCTATCTCTTCGCCTATCGTCCGGTTCACCTCCTCTCCGGTCTTTGAAACAGGAGTAGAAGTTTATCCCTTATTCACTGTTCAGGATCAGGATTCTGGTTTCTCTTAAAGTCTCTTTCACTCCCAGTAGCCACTTGCGTCTTAGTGGGATTATCAACTTGCCTGGGGTGAATTGATTAAAAAATAAACCCATCTTGGTTAGTATTGACAACAAAATTTTACTTGCGAAACACTTAAGTATCTTTCCTTGAATCTAGGTTCTACTAAGTACAAATAACATTCACCGGCTGAATATATATATATATATATATATATATATATATATATATATATATATATATATATATATATGAAAATTTTGAAAAAAAAAAAAAATCCTTAAATGTAGTTATTTTAACTACATTTAAGGATTTTTGTTTGTTTTTTCAAAATTTTTTCTTCATTCTGTCGGATTTATATCCATTTACACTTGCTTATATATATATATATATATATATATATATATATATATATATATTACTGAAATTTCTTATTTTCATGGTAGGGGACAAGGCTCAATGCGGGTTTATAAACACTGCTTGTAACTGAAGCCCATGCAGTTTTTCTTCCATATATATATATATATATATATATGAAGACCTTCACATAAAACATCTGGCACCCAGTATTAATTTCACCTTATTCAACAACAGATATAATGTGTTAAAAGGCTTTTAACCAGAAAGACGCCAACTCGAATTCCAGCCAGGTTCGTTTCACGAGGCTCACAATAAACGCTATTAATATTTAGGCATCCCACACCTACATTTTAAAAACAGACAACTGTGAAAAGAAAGTAACAACACTTAACAAAATACCGTTTCAAAATGTCTAAAGAAGTGGCCGAAAGCGCTTGGAACCATAGGCACTAGAGACAATTCTTACACTCCCTTACACCCAGCAAACGGGAAAATGTACAAATATTAGAAAAACTAAATAAACATTCATCAAGTTTTCCTTGTCTGTCATATTCAATGAAACATGTTTGAAAGAAGGGTTGCTGCCCAAATATACATATATTTATTGTTTATACGTTATTTTTATAGATACAAATATTTAAGTAAATGCTCAGTTTATAATAACAGTATTAACAACATTTACTGGCCTGATGTTCCGAGAAATCTCAAAGAAAATGTGTCCTCCGACAGGAATCGAACCTGCATGGAAACATCATATAGTCTGTTGTGCTATACCATTTAGCTACAGAGGAATCGTCTGGTTAGCATGATCGAATTACTGCTTTTAAACAAATTCGTGCTATACCATTTAGCTCCTCTGTAGCTAAATGGTATAGCACGTCAGGCTATATGCCGGTTCCGTGTAGGATACAAGTTCGATTCCTGTCAGAAGACACATATTTTCTATGAAATTTCTCGACATTCAGGTCGGTAAACGTTGTTAATACTGTTTATTATAAACAGAGCATTTACTTAAATATCTGTATCTATAAAAATAACGTATAAACAATAAATATATTAAAATAATTGTCGAACTTGGTCCATTTCATTATATATATATATATATATATATATATATATATATATATATATATATATCGGCTCGGATTGAGGAATCGGAGAGCTGAGTTCGAATCCATTACATTCACTTACGTGCTAATAATACTCTTGGGAAAGGTATTAATCCTCTCCTTCTCCCCCCAGTTATGGGTAAATAGCAGGACAGACTGCGTTCTATAGCCTTGGATGGCAACTGGTCTAGGAGAAGGACAACTCTGAATTCAAAACATGCGGAAGTTCATTTAGGGACATTGTTGCACATGGTGCACCAGGCCTCTGTATTGGGCTCATCAAAAATATGGCTGGTTCTGCACAAAACCGTCACCACTATAATCAAATCACATGTGAACGTTATCTGGCTGTTGGTTCCTAGGAACTGAGTTGCCTGAGGTAGGCGCGGGTCAACAGCCCGATCAACGACAGGAGTGTTCACGAAATATATATATATATATATATATATATATATATATATATATATATATATATATATATATTATATACTATAATAATTATATTTTTATCTACTTTTGTATCGGGCACTATTTTTTAAAATAATAACAAAAATATTAAAGAACTTTTGGATTATTTACCTAACCAGTTCTTTCCTATTTTCTATATATTTTCACACACACACATACACACACACATATATATATATATATATATATATATATATATATATATATATATATATATATATATATATATAAAAAAGGCTCAAACACTAATATTCTAAGGTTATAATTTATTACATTGGAATCGTGTTGATTGGATCGTGATTACGATTCCGATGTAATAAATTATATAATATATATATATATAACTTGACCACTAATATTTTTTCAAATATCTAACCTACACTGTATATATAGTTTAAATCAGATATAAATATGTATTTACATTGTAATAGGCTAGTGAATGCAGTCCAAAATAATGTATTGAAATCTATAATTCCAGTGTTAATTAATGAGAAACCCTTACCAGCATCAATGACGTGTTCCATAGTAGGGAATCTCTTCATCACCGCAACACTAATAGATCGACAAATCAGAATGAGGCCCAAGATCATGTAGCGGGCTAACGTCCGCCGGAACATCCGAGCTCTCTCATCATTGCCGTGAAGGTAAGTTACAGTCATGAACAGCGTTCTGGAATGGAAAATAAAACAAAAAAAATTGAATTTTCCTCAACCTTCCAATGTTTATCAACTAATTTAAGTAAATACATGAATCACATTATTACATATCTTCTTGTTGCCTATACACATAGATCTTTCATCACTCTCGTTGTTAAGTGAAGTATATACTACTTTTAACTATATATATATATATATATATATATATATATACAAGTATAGGGTTGGTGAATACGGAATAAATTCCAATAACTCAAAAATACTATTCTTAAAAGAGTGCTCAATATAGAGTAGAGCAAATATATTTTATTCGAAAATTATAAAAATAGCCAAATTGTTTCAACACTTCTGGTGTCTTATCAAGTGTTGAAAGTAGAATAAAGAGTTTTAAAAGGTTCAAATCGACCAAACAACCCTCCACAGGGGAAACGCCGTTACATAAGCTGCAATGACCAATCAAAATACAAGTATATGAAAATTCAAAAAACTTGACAACCAACCTTGGTTATAATAATAATTTCAACATCATCACTTGATAAGACATTATGTTATAATTTTCGAATAAATTGTATATATATATATATATATATATATATATATATAGTAAATGGAGTTACAAGTGGGCAGTGAGAGACCACGACTGCCAGTTCCTTCATATGCAATCATCAGGCGGTCAAGGCGCATGAAACTGGCAGTCGTGGTCGCTCACTGACCACTTGAAATTTGATTTAAATATATTAAAGCTCTACCAATTAATATGGCATGGTGGACACTTTTTTCCTGTGTACAATTTCAAACAGACTCTTTTGAGAGCTGCTTATACTTATTTTTATGAATATATATATATATATATATATATATATATATATATATATATATATATATATATATATATATATATATACATAAATTATTTAATTTAGGATATTAAAACAAATATATTATTCATTTTATACCCCATTTGTTCTCATTTTACCACTATATATATATATATATATATATATATATGTATGTATGTATGTATGTATATATATATATATATATATATATATATATATATATATATATATATATATATATATATAAGATAATGTATATTGAATGCTGGCGTTAATAAAATAGTATTCGATGTAATATAACAAAACTATTAAGTATATATTAATAAATATACATATTCTTCACCGGAAAATATAAAAGGATGCGTATATTTATTAATTATATATATATATATATATATATATATATATATATATATATATATATATATATATATATATATATATATGAATAAGGTATATTTAGGCAGCAAATATTCATCCAAACAAGTTTGATTAAAAAAGGCTTTTATTGCATTTGCATTTCAGTTTTCTTATAAGTTGTGGTGTGTTGTATCAAAATTCTGGATAAAGTGTCCGAAATTCATGTCGTGTTTTAGTTTGTGCAAGGATTTTCGACCGTCTCAGTCATTTTCAAGAACAATTGTGTTGCCTTGTGTCGTAGGCAGAATTCCTTTGACGACGTCTTTGCATTCTTTAGTAAATAATACTTCATTGAATCTGAGCTGTTTATTTTGTAAAAATAATAGCTTCCGGAAAGGAACGAAATCTTTCAATATATACATATATATATATATATATATATATATATATATATATATATATATATATATATATATATATGCGTGCCCACTTCGCGAGGGGATAAAAAGTTGTTTCGACATAGAACACATTCTGTACAAACATTTTTGATATTAGGAAGTAGTTCTGGCCGATAACTTTTCTTCACCCATATATATATATATATATATATATATATATATATATATATATATATATATATATATATATATAACTGTTAATCTACTATATTATATAAATATATCAGTTTTTGCAGGTAAACATGTATACTCATCACTGCTCAAACGCACACCGCAGATAAATAATAAGGACCTACTCAACAGGTAGATAAATAGACAATGAACAGGTAGAGGACCCTTAATACCTGCCAAAGCACTCATAATATCACATTTTCCCGGAATTTTCTTTTTTTTACCTGCTATATCCCGATTCTGGCTCTCCACAACTTCCTATCGTTTGTCGCTCTAATCAGTAGTTGTGACCTTTCTATCCGCCCCTGTCCTTGTTAACAAGCTCGTTAATTAGCTTCATCAGTGTTTCACTCTGCCCCTCTTGCTTTTAATATGCCCTGTGCGTGCCAACTTCTCCAAACCCGCGTTCCTTATTATGTATGCCAATATTATTGTACTTTAACTGTCTCTTTATTATTCTAAGTAAAAGCCTACGATCTGTTGTCTTAAAATTTTCTCGTTGCTCAGATGTTCCGTCTATCATATTTTCAATATTCTTCAGTTGAACTACGTCACTGTTGCCTTAATTTTCCTATTCAGTTGTGATTCCACATAGGATGATCGACATTGCATGGCAGTTTAACACCGTTTTCTTTGTTTCTAACAACATTTTTCTGTTTTTTAATACTCGTTTAGCTTTTGAAAGGCATCTTTCGCTATTCCAATGAGCCCCGTATTTCTATGTCATATTTTATAACATTTATGTTATAATTTTCGAATAAATTATATTTGCTCTATCAATCGAAAGATCAATCTTTGCCCTGAGCGCACTAAGTTGAGCATTCTGTCAACATTTGTATTTTTTCTCTGTGGCTGTCCATTTATTTTATTTTATCGACATGCACAATTTTCCGTCTTCCCTTGAACCGCCCGTGTCAGTTAAAAGCATTCACATTCATATTTCTTCACATGTTCACTATTAGACATTTTAAATAGGACTAACATTTCACTAGAAGTCTTACAAATCCCTGCACAAAACTAAAACTAGGCAAACATGGACCCTCGTGCCCGCAAAAAAAAAGTGTCAAAAGGACAGGTTTTTTTTAACTACCTTTACTCCTCAGCAATATTTATTGTTTGCGTCGACTAGAATTGTAATAAAGCCTAAACATACGAAAGTGAATTTATACATTTTCTTTGTTCGTGATAATCGACGAAAATAATAAGGTATTTTTAGCTAGTTGCAAATGTCCTGCTCATTAGGCATGAAAACGTGTGCTGAAAAGTTCTCTTACCCTCCCCAACACAATACTGATATTTGGTCATTTGGTCAGATATGGGTAAGTGGGTCAGATCGAAGTCTTTTCAGCACACCCTCTTCAAAATATATATTATCTTTAAAGACTTATTAGGCACTTACCTATCTGGCCAGGGTACGTTTATAAATTGTTGCCACCATCGAGCCACCACTATGGACACGTAGAATCCCAAGACAAAGGAAATTGGGATCAAGTTGGTGTAGCTGCTGCAATGGATGACAAGTCTCTCGAACATACTGAAACAAAGAGAGAACACTATATATATATATATATATATATATATATATATATATATATATATATATATATATATATATACATACATATATATATATATATAACGGCTACTTGTTTACAGAAGAAGGCCATCTCATGAGCTGATAAGCCATGGGCCCGGAGATGATTTTGCAAACCAGCTTCGCTCCTGCATGCCTTTTTGCATAAGTGACACACAAAAGGCTTTTGGATAGGCTTGAGAGTGAGCCAGACCTCCGAGTCTAGCTGTCGTGATACAGTCTTTGACTGTAAGCGACGTCTGCATTAGCAGAGAGTAACCCGGACGAAGCTTTGCCGAAGGGCAAGGTTTCGTTTGGGGAGGTAGACAGGGCCTGAACCCGTCTAGGCGGGTTCAAAGGCTATATTTTTGGCCGAGCCTACGGGCTCGGAGATACCCACATTACACCGGTCTTGTGCCATATTCAATCCTCGTGGGTGGATCGATAAATAGCGAGCTTCTCCTGGCGCACTCTCATGTGTTGCTACAGCCCGGCGTTAAACCTGCCAACTTTATTACAATTCTGACACAAGTACCTTACTCTGTCAGGAAGGACATCCACCACATAGTCGGCATTCGACTGCCGATTTTCATGTGATCTTCAATGTCTAGCAAATCCGACACGGGATAAAACAATCTTCCAGCAGACGTTACATATAAGCCCAGAGTGAATATCTTCTGGGACCGACTCTGCATCACCTTTCCTAAGAGCCCTTTTCAACTTCAAATACACAACCCTATTGACATCAAAACGATTGCAACCACCAAAAACTAGCTTTCTCCAACCAGGACACTTTTCTGCCTCTTTTCCCAGTCTTTGACACTAATTTCAAGAGATTTCATATCTATCTATCTATCTATCTATCTATCTATCTATCTATCTATCTATCTAAATATATGTGTGTGTATTTGTGCGTGCGAGGGATAGAGTGTGTAAAGGCTTAATAACTTATATATATATATATATATATATATATATATATATATATATAGTGTAACCCGGATATAAGATAGTTGTCGGGACCGGAGAAGAAGTCTCTTATATCTGGGTTTCTCTTATATTCGGGTCTAATTTACATTAATATACATTAACACGGTCTCTAATTTGGGACCAGAGAAAATCTCTCATATCCGGGTTTCTCTTATATCCGGGTCTCTTATATCCGGGTTACACTGTATATTTATAGTCAAACCTAGAGAACCAGACAAACCTACCAAGGTTTCACCTGGAGTCAGCTTTCCCCGACGATCCGCTTAGGTGAAACCTTGGTAGGTTTGTCTGGCTCTCTAGGTTTGACTAGGTCTGCTCTACTTTGTATTGAGCAATTTTTAATTAGTTGATTACTCGTATCGGGTTTTTTTTTTCTTTGGGCTTTGGACCTGTATGCTGTACGATTATTTTCGACAGACGTTCATGTTCCTAGCTCTTTCTTTTTTTAAAAAACCTTTTTTTCCTTCGAAATTGATTTGATCATTAGCAAATCAAGAAACCGAAGGTTTTCCGAGACAGTGTAGTTACCTATATATATATATATATATATATATATATATATATATATATATATATATATATATATGCATAATAACACACACACACACACACAGACATATATATTTTATACTGGGTGGGGTGGACAAATTGTCGTCTGAATTAGACAAGAATTAAAATAATATTGACACCTCAAATTTAATGTATATATTTACCAAAATTACACAAAAAATATCTTGAAATACTAAAGTATTAATTCATTCAATAAAATCGCCGTTGGCATTAACCACGGCCCCCAGAGGACTTCGGAATCTCCTGCGACTCTTCTCGACACTCTCCTTGTTTAAATTGCCAAAAATTTCGAGACATGAAAAACATTCCTCAAAGTAAAAACCGAGACGTTCTTTCAAGATGGAATAAATAATTTATATAAAAGTAACGTACATTTATAGAATGTTAAGAAAATTTTTCTAATAAACAAATAATGATGTTAATGATCATGGTAATATTAACCGTTTCCTTATAAGGAAACATTTGAGATTCATTGCCCGAACAGCCAATGCTAATGTCGATTATTAATCTTTCTCTTAAAACAAATGTTCAGGAAAATAGGTTTGTCTATATTTCTGAGATGAGGTGTTATGTACACTATTTACATTATTCGGATTATTGTCCTCATCTTTGTCGCCATATTTATTACAACGTTTCGGCCGTTGTATGCTCCGGCTTTCTTCAGGTGGTTGGATTGTCGAAATGAACCCTTTATTTCGCTCACTGGGGTTGACTGTTCTAGAACCATGTTTAATGGATGTCAGTTACCAGTTATCTTCTGTTAATTCCCCTCTTCAAGTTCTCCAGTGACAGGACCCAAAGAGTGTGAGTTCAATACCCGGTTAAGGCAGTGGAGAACTTGCAGAGGGAAATTAACAAGAGATAACTGATAACTGACATCCATTAAGCATGGCACTTGTAACTAGAAGAAAGGACTAACCATAAACTACACGCAGGCGATGCATAGTCATCCGTAAAAGGATGAGTCAAAAATGCGATTTGCAGGTTGGGGACACTAAAATCAAACATGTGCGGAAGTTTAAGCATATGGGAAGTGCTCTGACGAAGGATGGTAGGTGCGACGCTGTGTACCGAGGATGGATTGGGATGGCCAAGGATACATTCCAGAAGCAGGTAGAATACTGCGAAACAGGAGGATTTCTATGGTGACAAAGAAAAGAGTACTGAGCTGCTACGTGACATCTGTCCTCCTGTACGGCAGCGAATATTAGACGGTATCCTCAAGGATGCAGAAGAGACTCGAGGTGGTGGCGATGTGGTTCTACAGTAGGATGCTAAGGATATCATGGGCCGAGCGTGTGAGCAACAATGAGGTCTTCGAGAGGATGCAAACAAGGAGGAAGCTTATGCTTAACATAATGTAGAGGCAGATGAAATTTCTGGGACACATGATGAGAAAGGAGGGCCTGGAGAATCTGATACTCACAGGACGAATAGAGGGTAAAAGAGACAGGGGAAAGCAGCGCATGACATACGTGGCTGGCTTGGGCAGGTGGATAGCGGAGCCTGGTCTGGGGGAGTTGGCATAAACACAAAACCTGTTAAGAGCCACATAGAGGGAAGTGGGGGGGGCATGATCGCCTGAAAGGACACGGCACGTAAAAAGAAAAAAGATATGGATAGATATTTTACTTCATCGTGATTATTAGAAATGCATAGTTTAAAATATAAAACCCATAATCCTTTAGGACGTCATTAGGCTATCATTTACTATATTTAGGTATATCTTTGAATGACTTATTTAATTGAAAACCTCCTGAACCACTTTTGATCAGTATGGCCACTAAGCATATGCTATGCATATTTTATGAACTGCTTTCGTGGTTGTTGATCTTTCATCGATATGCGTGTAAAGTGCGTTCGACATGCCGAGTTCGAATTCCAGTCGAGATCGTTGCATTCACTTTCGCAAAAACACACTTGAAAGAGATAGGAATTAATTTCTACTCCAGCTGTTTGATAAGTAGTAAAGCAGATTGGGTTCTCTAGCCTTGGTTGTGTTATATAGGAATAAAGTGTCGCTGTCGACACTGGAGTTTGAACACAGATCACCAGATAGCAAACACAGCCGATCCCATTTTGAATAAGTAGATCATGTGATGGTAAAGGAAATGTATATATGCGAATTAGCATGGCGTCTAAGTGATCACTATACAGATTACTATTCGGATCACTATTCAGTGGTTACTTTTCGAGCGAGTATTATCGAGCAAGTACTATTAGGGCGAGTGTTATTCGAAGGCGACATTGTTCAACGGCGTTACTATAGTTGGTATCTGCGATTAAAGAGTCTCTACTACAACGAACATTAGGAAAGTGACAACGAGTATTCGTTGACATCACAAAAGGTTGGCAACCAGTCTAGGAGAAGAATAACCCTGAATTCAAAACCGGGTGTAGAAATGGCAAATTCCACCATATAAAAGGCCTAATTATTAGGTTGGTGCAAAAATAATGACGTAAGAATGTCGTTTTTTGACGTTAAAAAATACGTCAAAAAACGACATTATTACGTCATTATTTTTGCAAAAACCTAATACTACCATGAAAGCCTATTTACTTATGTTAAATCTAATCCAAACTCGACAGATGCTTGTGTTAAGGCTTCAACTCAAGCAAAGAAACGTTTATCTGTGCCTCATTGGGAAAAGGTACACGTTAGGTAAGCGGGTACTGTAATAAGTGAACATAGTAAACAACCAAAAATACACATGTACACAACTTTGGTTGGTAACCTTATAAATAAATATAATAAAAAGGTCATATGAATTTACCAATAAGTGTATTCTTTATATTTTCCTGATAGAGAAAATAATTATATAATCAAGATGTTAACATTCTGCACTATCATGAACGAAAGGTTTTAGAAGGAATCTCCCATAAATACGAGAAAGATCGATAACATTTAGTGGATATGAGAAGCCGGTTTTCCTTAAAAAATATTTTAAGAAAAATATTTTATAAATTTCAACTGATAGTAAGGATAATTGTCCTACTAATGAATTTATCATTACCATTTTATGACTGATTCAAATCAAACGATTTGTTGATTTAAACTGTGGGCGATTGGTATGAAATAAGCATTTAATAAACATTCCGTCGTCGTAGTTGCGCAGTTGTGATAATTTTGTCTTGTTTTTTTGTTTCTCTTGGCAATATTGCGAGATCACATTCTATAAAAAGATTTAAAATGGCCACTGCCGATAAAACAATAAAAATCACAGTCAAACAATGTTTTAATATTCTTGTCTAAATTTTTTTAGACGAAATGTGTCACTCATTGTATTTTGGTCATTTTGAATTCCATAACATTATTAGCTTAAACGTCATATTGCATAATATTGCTAGTTTGAACGTTATATTATATGACATTGTTAGTTTGAACTTTATATTATATAAC